TAGCAAGGGCATGAAATCCAGTAAGAATGGTCTCCTTTTCATCTCCTCAAAAGCAGGAGAGAAAATCAAAAGGAAATGCAGACGTATTCACATCAACAGAGCTTAGAATATAAGATCTCATACTTCAAAACCATAAGGCCGCCTCACTTTTTCTAACATGTTCCCTGCACATGAGCAGCAGGCTTTTCTTGGTTACTAGAGATAGATACTAAAAGTGAAGAGTTACTGGACGCTCTAGTACAGAACACAAAGAAATGGAACAGTAAAGTTAACCAAAGCTGTGCAGCGTGTACAAACCTGTCTGGTTTACCCTGGATGTGAAATTAGGGTAACACAATGAGTCAGTTCAGCTGCCATTAAGAGAAACACATACACCTCTTCAAAGGTTCTTATACTGACAATGTAGTTAAAAGGAAGAAAATTAACTATACAAAAAAGTAAAACCAGATCTGCTACTTAGTGGTTATTTTCAGGAAAATAAATAAAAAAAAATAATTTAGATACATTTATAAAGTGCTTGGAAGTTTTTAGAACATTTTACTCATGTAATTCTTAGATCTATACAACAGCATTAGCCGAATATACATACACACACATGTAGATAGTGATATAAACAGAAAGATAAATGTTTTCAAGAAATACTTCCTTGTCTTTTATTGAACACAACATTAAATCTTTGCTGTTGAAAATCCCAAAGGTAACACTGTTAATAAAATCTTACAGTTATTGTAAATGTAAAATATTAAATTACAGCTGTTCTCGGGTCCTCTTTTTTATTATAATGGAGTAAATTTTGTCGGAAGCACATGTTAGAGATAAGTAAATAGTGAGCAACACTGCACAGCAGAAGTTACAGAAAGAAAGCAATTTACAAAGGGATGCTTCACGTGGTTTCCTTCTGAACACCCATCACTTTTTATTTAAAAAAAAAAAGAGCCCAAATCTTGAGTTCTTGATAAAAAATTTTCCAATACAATGTGACATATGGTGAGTGTGTGAGCACGTGTTGGAGGAGGAGATGGTGGCTCAATGGATTAGTCATTTGCCTTTCACCTCTGGAAGCATAGTTAAACTCAGTTCTGACCAGAGCTGCACAGTATATTCCAGATGGCTAAAGTGGGCCTAATTAAAATGAATTCAGTGATGTCACCTCGGATCTAAGTGAATCGCATGCACCACTCATTTGGCATTTTGGCAATGTCAGTTCACAAATGAAATAACCAGATTAAAATCCTCCCTTAAGTCTTTTGGGACAACACACACACAGTCACACTGCATGGAAATACATGCTATCATAACTAGAAAACGTACTTTTATAATTGTATTATCTGTTGTTTTAAATTCTAATTGGTGCATTATTCTAATACAAAGAAACATTAAATGAGACTTGCATGTGAGGTAAATCAGTGCAGCAACATTTCAGTCAGATGATTCAGTGGATATACACTGATTCAAACCAGCTGTGAATCTGGCAACATAATTTTAAAGAATTCTTTATTTTAACAAAATATTTTTCCTTTTAAGTAGACATAAATCAAAACAATACAAATCCCAATTACAAAGAAATACTCAGAAGCACAAAGTATTGCTAACTCGAACACTTTACACAAAATCATTCTTTACAATTCATCTCTAAGTTAAAAATTAGCATTTTCTAGCTTTCACAGTTTGGGAAAGTGTGACTGGAAGAAGTAGGAAAGACCTCGTGTACCCTGTGTACCATTTTAGCCACGAGTCTAATAACATCTGTGTATTCTGAGAACCTGTGATGTAGATATGCTGAAGTAGGGTAGCTTTTCTTCACCACCTAATGTAAATTCACAAATATTTTGTTTCCTAGCAAAGGTGTTTTCCTCCATCTGGAATAATGACTTTTTTCTTGTGTAATATAATAGACTCAGGAATTGTATCCTCATGTATATTGTGAGGCTTGTTTTTTTTCTAAGTTTGTTTTTTCTTCCAACATTTCTTCAATAGATAGTGAACTGCTGGGCCCACAGAGATCTCCAGACCACCAGCTCATGTATTTGAAAGGCATCTGTTTATTTTTAAAATGCAAATGCAGCCTACCTCAAAGACTGACTTGCAAGAAATGAACAATCTGAACAAGTCAAGAGGTTTCCAATCAGGAGCTGTGTTCCTCCTTTATATCAGGCTATGATCACTTGCTGTCAAAACCACTTAAACAATATCCTGGAATCTGAATGAAGTCCCTCCACAATTAAAATGAGCAGGATAATCCTGCAAGAATTATTCAGGCAAATCATTTTTCACACAGTTTAAAGTAATGATAAGGTCATTTACAAAAGAAATCAGCGCCTTTGAAATGCTGACTTGTAGACAGAGGACTGCCTGGAGGAGGGCCATAGATAACAGTGAAGACTGGCCTCCTAACACTACCCTCGCAGTCTTTGGAACTGATTCTGATGAAGAGAAGGCCCAATAAGGTTAATACCCCTACTTTGATCTCTGTCAAAGCGTACCAGCAAGAATTAATTTACATTTCAGATGAAAAAGGTTGACAGCATGAAAAGGCATCTTGTTTCTGGTATGTGAATGTGCTGTAATAGATCGGGAATTCTGAAAGGAAGTTCTGAGGAAGCTAAAGGGATAAGCTGAGCGGCTGCTTTTATTGGGAAAGAGATGAAAGGAAAACAAATTTCAATATGCGCTGTTCTGTAGAAACATGTAAGCCAAATGCTTCCTAAATTTCAAGGCCTGCTTGAGCTGGGAGGGGGAGGGAAAGAAGAGGGAAGTACATATATTTTAATTATATGGTTTTGCTAATGTCTGGATGACAAATGCAAACAATCTATCTCACTGCCTGAAATGGCTCATTTTTTAAAAAAATACAAAGGTGATCATACTGCATTTTACTGAAAAGCTGCCTTGAACTACACACTCATAAGATGTGAAGTGAAGGGAAAGATTTGGAGTTGCTTTTGTCTCCATGTCACTAGGCACTTGGACAGTGTAATGTAAACAACAGAAAGACTGTCAGTGTATTTTAAAACCTGGAAAATGGCCACCATTAGCAAGCATGAGCTTTAATCTGAAACACAGAATAATTAGCATGTAGAGAAGAGAAAATGTGCACAAGAAGAATTTTCAAATAAGTCCTAGATATAGGTTTCCAAAGGCAGACAGAAATGTGTTGAGGATTATTATTATTATTATTATACCCCTTTGAATGCAGCACCAAAGATAGGAGGAGCAGACAGCCTAATTAACACAAAGGTGCACTGTGTCACTTAACCCTGTAGTTCTAATGCTTATTCACCCAGATTGATTACTGAAACCGTCAAGTGCCAGGTTACAAAGGAAGACAGTGTGTGTGTTGGTGGGAAGAGTGCTAATAGCATTCCTCCAGCATTTGGTCCAGAGAGCTCAGCAGAAGTGTCCAAATTCAAAGGTACACGTACACTCCCACTGCCTCGGCTCTGCCGTGTTCAACGCAGTGTCTTAAGAGATGGCAGGAAGGAACCCAGCTCTGAATCTCTCCCATGTGTGCAAACAGCAGAATAGATCAGTTGCTTTCTCTAAAGAGCTAGTAATGAGCATGCATCTCCTACACACCTAGGAAATCTGGCTGGACAAAACTGAGGCAGAATGTCCCCTACAGTCTCCAAGGGATACTGCTACACATCAACTTCCTCCTGAACCTGAGATAACTCTCGCCTTACAGAACTGGCAATTACTGCAAAAGGCTGTCTGTTTTAAGTCAGGAAATCAAAGTCCAGGTATGGCCAGTGTAAACGTAGCAAATACTCCAGAAAATAGTTGTGGGGGGTATTTTAAGACCTACTCTCTGTACTATCATGAAAACAATAGAAAATGACAACACGAAGGAGAATAAGAAGGGGGGAAAGTGCATCTGCAGTCCTTCAGTGCTTGTTGTAATGGGAGAAAAAAAAATCCTTAATAGTTCTATATTTAATAGAATATTCTGCATTTGACCCTAGAGCTATATTTCATCATTCTACATAACAGTATGCATGCAAAGCTATAAATTATTATTTTACCCTAATGATACTCTGTTCCTTTCTGTAACTGGACTGGTATTCTGTCTTCTGCTGAAAGTCACAGTGATGCTTAATTTCAGAGTAGCAAATGTAGATAAAAGAAAAACAACTAAATTTACTGGAAATGGCTCGAGAACAAAGTAAAACAATATTTAGAACACATCTTTTTCAGGTTGACTTTAGACTATATGATACAGAACAGAGAGGTGACAAAGCTTAAGGAATTATAGCACAGGCAGCTGGTAGAATACAGGTGGTACCTTGTTTTATCTGTAAACACATTTGCTACAACTCATTTTTGATCAGCTACAGTCTTTCAACCTGGGGTTGGACAGGGAAGGTGTATTACACTGCATCATATGGAGGCTGCTTCATATTGGCAGCATCTGAAAACACCACTGAGTTCACGGCACTGGTTCTTAGATTTCTGTGCCATATGGTACCCTGCTCTCTACTAGAAACCTACACAGCCCTATGGGCCTGTTCCTCCAATAATCTCTTTAAAGTTTATTCAAATTCATATTGATATGGCTGCATAGGAGTCTGGCAGAGAGTCAAAAGATTGGCCAAAGCTGGCAAACCCAGCAAGCAGTCAAAACAAAAACCTGGCAATCTGCCAAGATCAGGGCTCGACACAAAGACAGAGAAACCCATGTCCAGTGCCTCCCATCCACACTTTTAGCCAAATCAATCCAGTGCTTCATACCAGCTCTACATATAGTTGAATCATACTGATTGTGTTCAGAACTCAACAGCTTTTAATCAGTATGTTTTGCTTCCAGAGAAGTACTTACGAAAAGCCCAAAGTGCCTGATACCTGTCACTGATGTCATTTGATAGTGAAGAACAAATGATCAGAAGTAATGTTTTTGATTGCTTTTGTTTGGACTGTATGTATTTCTCTTGGCTATAAACACTGACACGTGAAATCACCCACAGCAAAATAGGTGTTGGCAATTGAAATAACGTTTTAATTACCTGCTTGAATATGTATAGCTGCATCAGTTCTTCTGTTCCTTATTTCCTTGTACTTCCTGCGAGCTTCATATCCTCTCCAGGCTAAAAATACAAAACCATGTGCTGGAAATTACATTTATTTAAGGAACTGCTACGGAGTCTACAGAGTCAGAGTTGTGCTGAAACTTTCATCCCTCCTGCCACAACCACTCCAGCCCCCACCCCCAATACCTCTTCCCCACCCACCCACATGTTGAACTCTGGGTTCACGACTTCACATCCCCACAACTTCAAACGCCGCTTCATTCGTCCAAATTTTAATTGTCATCATGTGCTCACCATGTCCTAACCCAAAAGGCAAAGGTGCATGATCATGTCAGCACAAGAACTCCCCTCCTCACACAGCTCCCCAAATTAAATATAAGGAAGCCTGCTAAATTACTGATAATCAGCCTTTCAGGCCCAACCCACGATGTATGTTATCTGGAATTCTGGAATACATGGCGAGGAGATGGGGGACACGTGCTACTGCATTTCATTTATGTGCTGCATGCTAGTGTAGACATACCTAACAATATTTTCATTTTGTGCACAGGCAAAGCATTGAAAATACTAAAATATTTAAATAAAGGCATTACCAAATACTAACATGACACCTTAGAAGTAAATCAATAATATTTGCATCAATTAGCTGGAGAGAAAAGCACCTCTGGTTATTTTGATTTCATAATAAACTATTTTGAATTAATAAGTAACGTACATGCAATTTAAGAGCCGGAAATGCAAAGACCCTCAGTAAAATAGGGAATGTGAATGTTTACCTGACTGTATGGTAACAGCACTATTTTCTCTTTTCTCTTTGACTTTCTTGTACCTCCTTGCTCCAAGCCATCCCTTGATATAGGCTTGCATGACCACCACTCTCCCTATAACTTCTCGCAGGAACAAATTTAACTGCTCTATATGGTAATACCTTAGAAAAACCTGAAATGGGGGAAAAAAAAAAATCAGTATTACATGCAGGTAGTAACATAACCTCTTGTATTGTGCCTTTTCTTTAGTCTTATGTCAGCCTATTTTAGGGCACCATTGCTGAGAAAACTGGTAAAATACTGGTCGTCCCATTGCAAAATAAACCACATATTTACCCCTTTTACAAGGTAAATTGGCCAGGGGGATATTTTTCAGGGATCAACAATATTGAAATACAGCCTTTCTTGACAGTGGGAAGAGAAATCCTGGGCTGAATTTGTTTTTAGACATAATAGCATCTAACAGCATTCTGCTTCAGGAGGCAAATCCTACGGGTGCTTACATATACTTCACCTGGGTTTTGAGCAGGAAAATTCTCCTTGTTTTCCTTTGTGCACTGTAAAACAACTCAAGATGCTGTATAACATCCATTTTACAGAAATCATCCACTCTGTTTTCAACCATGAACAAAGGCTCTTGACAAAGCCAGAAGGCTCTCAACTGAAACTCCGCAAATGGATAATGTAATAACCAGGCTCGCAAGATGGGCCAGAGTGTGAAGTTTCAATCATGCCATGATTAAGAACAGGAGGAACTTCAGTGAGGCACTGACAGATGTACCGTACTTACGCAGGCAGCCACGTGCAGAATGTGCTGTGGGGAGGTACCCAATGCACCCCTCCCTCTTGCAGCAGTAATTCAGCTGGCTTGGAAGGGCACCTCCATAACCTGGGAGGCTAACTGGAGCAAATTCCTTGCTCTTTTGTTCATTCATGCAGTACTTTTCAAACCACTATTAGACATGTTTTGCTAAAAGGATACTATCCTTGAGAAAATGTTAGCACCCTCTACCTTGGTTTTCCCAAGAATCCAGTTGTCTAGTTTAGATTTCTCCAAAATGGCAAGACAGTTTTCTCTGCTACCAAGGGGAGTCTCATGTGCCTTGAATGCAAGGTAATAATACCTGCAAAACCAAATGACAAAGAAAGAATTGACATGACAATCAATATGTACTTTCACTGCTCTTCTCTAGCTCAGAGCTGCATCTCTAGAACTTATAGGCCAAATTCTCCTTTATACTCAGTTCTCTTCATAAATCAGGACACAGCTGTCATGAATAACTAACTGAGCATATACATGACATAGGAAAATAAGTGGTACCATAGTGGTGACAAGAACCTACTGCATTCTAGAAATACCCAGTCAGTGTAATCATCCATAAAGGTCTTTCACAAAACAGTGCAACTTGGGAAACAACCAAGGTTGCTCTGAATTTTTCAAGTGAACGAGTGAATGAATGACAGGGAGAAGAAGGAAAAGTGCTAGAAATCAGAGTAAGAGAAAGGAAGGCAAAAATAAAACCTTTTGGATAACGTGTAAAATAAGTACGCCATCTACAGAGCTGCATAACATACTTTGGCACAGTTACATCTCACTGCAAGTCTGCAAGATCTGTTGAATGAGCAGGTGCTCCCTGAGATGTTCAATGGACCTTTACAGATTACTGAGTGGGAGAAAAGTCAAATACTAGCACCAAAGAAAAAGAAAAGCACCAGAAGTAAGTTATTAATGACCTGATGCCTGTTTCTTATGAGAAATGCCAAAAAAGGCATTTCAGAATCTGTCAATATTTTAGTTACTGGTATCAGTCATTTTTCACAAATAAATATAAAGGACGTTAAGATTCTTTGGGAAGCATAAATCCACAGAAGAAGCTGAAGACTCTTGAGCTTCTAACAAGATCAGTCCCATCAATGGAACGCAGGGAGCTTCCCATTTTCAGTATGCCTAATAGAAAGACTGAGGATTCTCACTGGTGAAGGTAAAGGCCAGCGGTAGGAGGGTAGGTAGTACAATGATACAGTGATACTGACTGATTATTGAAGCAGAAAAGGCTGCCACTGTGTATGAAGAATAAAGATTTGCTCACAGTAAAAACAACTCTCATATCAATCTTAATTTATAGACAGCAAGATGCTCAGACTGCATGAATACCCACCTGTGCTTCACACCTCCAGAAGAGTTCATATATATACATAATGAAAACAATTGGCACTGCTTTCATATCAGCAAGGATTTTATCAGTGCTGATGGTTAAACAGAACTGGCAGCTATTTTAAAGAAAAAACAAATGAACTACTCCTCATATGAATGTAATAATTTTCTTTACTCACAAGGATTTCTGTGGTTATGATTAGGTTTGTAAGCCAATAGGCATGACATCTTTTTTTCTGCTTGATTGGGACAAACAATTAATCGGAACGATTGTGATCAATTTTAGTGGCTTTTGGAGCAGGCCCATACTAAACAACATTGACTTTTCTTTTGTCCACATTCCCTTTCACAATTATGTGAAATAACATTATTGTGCAAAAAGTTAATGTAAAAGGGATGCAAACATGTTTGAACTGAATTAAGAATGAAAGGACCAATCCCCACCTGTAAAGCCGCCATGCATTGAATGGTGAAGAATGGTTTTATAGTATTTAAGTAACTCCCAAACAATTATGTTAAGTAACAGCAAGAACATGTGCCAGTTAGTTTAGAAATTTAAGGTTATTTTAGCACAAATACACTGTTAGATGGTAGCAACTCCCACCTCAGCTCTCTTTTATGAACCCCCATATGTTGTCTTGGTCTTTAAGTTATACTTCTACAGGAGCTACTCTATTTACATTGTGTTTCAGAGGAACTGGCAGGTTCAGCAAACCATTCTAATTATTAACATGGGGAAGAGCCATCGGATGTTCTTTAAAACATAAAGAGAAGAATCCAACCAGTGAACCTCACAGACAGATTCCTCTGTAGCCACATAGAGGCAAGAAAATATCCCACCTCATGCTGAAGAAAAGATGTGGAAGCACTTAGAAAGAATGGAATAACACAAGTGTGGTGGGTTTTTTTTTTTAAATCAGGAGAATATGATTTTCAAATATTCGCTCCAGTTAATCTCTAGATATTAGCTCCAGTTGTCACAAAAAAGAAAAAAAAAACCATTAAAATGGTCAATAAAGATCAAAGGGGAACAAAATGACGTCTGAAGGCAAAAGCAGTAGAAAGTCCTGGACCAGAGACATAGATATCCACCAACTGGAGATTATTGCCCACTCTGACTAATGACAGGAGATTATGTATTACTGAGTTATTTTTAATGCAGTGACTTTCTAAAGAAGATGATATTGCAAATTCTTTAGCCAAGTCTTTCAAAACACTAAGAGTCATGCCATTTAGTATGTATGGAGAAACATGCTGTATTTCAAAAACAAAAGCACCTTTTCTCCACCTTATTACTGAACTTAATGATGCCAGTTTTCACCAGACAAATGGTATTACGAATTACATTAATAAAACTCAGATTTAAAATATACATATTACAACCAATTTGTGATAGCATGCAATTTCACCACACATTTGACAGATACATCAGGGAAGTTGCACTAATAGTAAATTGCTGTTTGCTTCAAAAGCCAGTTCAGATAGCCATGTTATTTACACATGTATGTAACTTAAGCAGTTCCTTTCCTTAGAAGGAAAGGATTCAAGTGAGTGATAATATCAGTTTTCTGGTTGTTCATATATCTTTTAAGGCATGTTGTAGTTGGAAATTTTAAAACCACCTAACAGTTTTTAGATAGCACTGATACAGTAGAATAGTCAAGGGGGAATCTCATAATTCTTGAATCTTACTATCTTATCAATGACAGTCTAATTACTGAGAAGTTGACTTCTTTGTGACAAATAGCTCAAAAATACTTTTTAGTCAGGTATGCAATTTACATGCCCGACTATACCATTTTGTTTATGACAAACTTCAATACATTTCAATTGTAGTACCCTCTCCATTAGCTGTCTTTCATGGTCTAGAATGTAGTTGGTTTTGGTATTCAGAAAATAAAACTATAAATAAATCAATGCCCATTTTCCTTATCAAATCTTATTTTAACAAATGTTTTTATAAATTTAAATTTATCTTTCTCCTAAGAAAGCAAGCCATTCAGAATGACAGTAATTTTTCAACCCACAGGAATAACTTCAGTTTCTGTATGTAAGCATAGTCTCTCGATATTTCATAAAAGTTTCCTCTAAATGTTTTGATTGATCCAACCACTGCAGAGAAGACTCCAGTAACTGGTTAAACATGCTGGCATGTCAGATTTTCAACATCAGGTATTCCTGTTTCTTTTCAGTTATGTCATCAAAAATTAGGCAGAATTGACTCATCAGAAATAAAGATGGTCTAGAAATATGAGACTGGCAATTTCTTTTTGATTATTTCTCCTCCAGAACTGCTTTTGGAGTTTGCATTCTGCACAGTAAAGGGTCTCTAGTGTTCCAAAGCTCAAATCCATGTATTTTTTTTAAGCAAACACTTTGTTTTCTATCTGGTGCCTGTTTTCACGACTGAATCACCTCTGTAGATGCACAAGTAGTTTGACTTGGTGTGCTCAGGATAACTGTATGGCAGCACAGCATGTGCCACATAGGATCATCTAGTTATTTTACCTAATCTAAAATCTTTGTACAGCAACAGACCACATGGAATATTTTGGAGGAAGGTAAAATGTTTCACCCTAATCTATCTGGTAAAAGTGTGCAAATGTTGTACATGGTGAAATGGTAGAGAAAACGACTGGGCGTGCACCCAAAACTTTGAGGTATATGCAAAGCTACAACTGTTCATTTTGATTTACTGGCCTAATTTAATTTCTATCATACTTATGTAAATCTACGGTACAGAGATCACAGACAGAGTGACCTCTATCTACAACATTTCACCAAGAGAAGAAAACAGAGACTTAATTTCAGAAAAGTAGAGAAAGAAATCACATTTGCTCCCAGATGAGATAAAAAATTCACAACTCTACTTTTTTATTTCCATATTTGCACTTGTTATTCCAGCAGAAAATGCAGTAGAGTGGAATACTTTGGTGCTCCTCTACGTTAGGCCAATACTTTTATTTCTATTTTTAAAAATAAATTTTATAGTCTTTTATGTGTCATTTCACAAACATGCACATATTTGTGCAAAACTACTTTATTTTCTTGGGTTATACATCCTGCTTGAAAATTCCCTA